ATTTTTAGTCATTGTTTTGCTACTTTTTTTTAAAACTTGGTTCTTTTGCTGCTTCTTATACTCAATTTTGTTTGTTTTTTTACTTTTTCCACACATTTCTCATTGATTTTCTGCCTTTTCCACTTATTTTTGGTCGTTTTTCTGCTTTTCCCCCCTAATCCTCTGGTTCCACCTACAGTACATTAACCTGACTTTACATTTTTAGTCATTGTTTGGCTACTTTTTTTAAAAACTTGGTTCTTTTGCTGCTTCTTCTACTCAATTTAGTTTGTTTTTCTACTTTTTCCACACATTTCTCATTGATTTTCTGCCTTTTCCACTTGTTTTTGGTCGTTTTTCTGCTTTTCCCCCCTAAACCTTTAGTTCCCCCTACAGTACGTTAACCTGACCCTCACCCTTCTTGAACTCCTCCAGCATGGCGTCCAGCTTGGTGTCGTTGAACACGAAGTGCAGCGGGTGGTTGTAGAACTTGGTGATGGTGGTCATGGGGGTGCAGTCGTCCGGGTCCACCAGCGCCAGGTCCTTCACGTACAGGATCTCCACGATGTTGGACCTGGAAAAACCCGCATGGTAGAGTTTCGTTTCCACTTCAGAAAGCTGCTAGTCACAGGACCTAATCAAAATGGCCGACTTGGATGTGGGAGGAGTTGGATATCCAACAGATGCTCCTACAGGCTGCAGCCAGAGGCTACTCGGCCTACTCTGTTTTTGGCGGTTCTACCGATATTTTCCCTCCATTTAAATGGATCATAAACAGTATCCTCTCCTTTCTCAGGTCACATGGGACAGCAGCCCTGCTCCCATTGGCCTGTTTCTACGACCGAGCCCTGGTTTGAATCCTGTCCCCCAAATAGAGTCAGGCTAACACGGCCTCGTCCAATCAGATCTCTGGAACCAAGCAGGAAATGCTGGTTTTATCAGCTTTGTAAGCAGGACAGCAAAGGTAAGGCAGGATTTCTGAGGCTGTGTGTGGAGCCTGAAGCAGAACTTTGTTTTGTTTTTTTGTACATTTCGGTCGTAGATCCATGGAACTTTGCGGTTTTGGACTCTTTTTTTTTTTCAACCTGCTTTTTGATCCTTTAGTATTTGAAAATGCTAAAACCGTTTTCAAATTCTAAAGGACGTTTCTGACGTTTCTAAAATTGTTCTCACATTGTGTTGCTTCCCTTCCAGCTTCTACTATTCGCTTGATTTTTTCTATTTACCAGAGAGTCTCCAAATCCAGCAGCATCTTCTGCTCTCAGTGCTCCGCTGCCCCCTTGTGGAGACCTTCTGTAACTACACTGGAGCCTAAACTGGGAAAGGAGAGCTATGGACTAATCCAGGGGTTAAAAAAACAGCCTCACTGGATTTTTTTATTTTCTTTCTTGCTTCTCCCACCAACAAGAACTATAAATCTGAGTACATGACTCCTTTCAATTCATTTTTACCCAAAAATCAGCTTTAAAAAGCCCTTTTTTAAAAGTAAACTGGCATAATC